TTTACAAATAGACTTGGTTTCGTTGCCATTTCGCCCTTCCTTATTGATGAAGCGATCCCTATACATTGAAGTCAATCTATATTTATTGGAATAAAAGCATTTGTCCTGAATTTTGAGGCTCTATTGGTCTCAATTATAACATCATTTTTCTGGGGCTTCGGTCCTTAATAAAGAAGATTCACATGAAAGGAGGGACAAAGATTTTCTGAGAAAAATTCAACTAATTGTTTTACGCATCATAATAGTACGTTCCAAGAAGCATCGAAGTATTCTTGAAACATACATACCTTTACGTACTACACGATCACATATGTTGCAAAAATTTTACTATTCTCAATAGATAGAATTCCATAAATTACACAACAACGTTCAATAATCATTTCAGTTTATCGTATTCTCACAATAATTCGAGTACATTGAAGTCAAATGAGCAAAAAGTTGTAGTATATACTATGCTTATGGAAATTTACTAGGATCCTAAATTTTATCAATTGCTAAGATACATTTGAAAACCGACAATGTCATTTCTCCATACATTTTGATGTTTAGTCGCCGAGCAACTGCTTTGGCAATACAAGTATTTGAGCTTCGTGGCATCGTTCGTGCACAAAGAAGTGCTTGACAGAATTCGTAAGACAATTCAAGTCAAATCTCTGTACATATCATCTTCAACTTTCCCAATAAACACATGATCTATTTTAAACTAATTTTTCTAACTTTACAATAATACTTGCAATATTTTAATCTTGTAGTTGAAATAGATTTTTTTCTCTGAATATTAATTTTCACCAAAAGGGTATGTCAGTTGTGTAAACCAAAATGCATACAAAACGGCATGAAACTATTGGGATTGTGGCTGAACAGATGACAAGAACTACAACCTCGCACATTCATACCCATACATTTATGGCGCATCTGCATCGTGCATCAAATCTGATTTATTCATGTCGTCGATCTTGTAAGTATAGATTGGATCATACTTCGACTGACTGTCCGCTTGTGACATTATCAAAGAAAGCGATACGCAAATTAGTGATTAATGAAGAAATATCTTCGAAAATTTCTTTCATCCATTGAAGATGTCGGACAAATCTCAGTAGAATTTTCAAGATATGATAAACGAAGAATTCCTATGAAATAAGATGGTCTTGTTGTTGATATATGTAAGGACGTGAAAATAAAATACTATTGATTGTTGTGAGATAACACTATATCTATTTCTATTCATTAATAATAGTGGATCTCAAAGTACATTGAAATGATACTTTGATGAGTTTAAATAGCAATGACTAATATAGCTTGCTATCAAATAGAAAAACTTAATTTGTGGGACGAATTTACCAAGTAGTGAAGCAGAAAAGCTCAAAACATAAAATGAATCAACGGTTAGAATCAACTATATTACCATAAGGTACATATATCAGATGAGTATTTACATATAATTTCAACCAATGCCAAGCAGCACCTGAAAAGTATCTGTAATTCAACAGTCGAAAGTAAATTCCGAAGAATAAATGCGACTTCATCGCTGGTTTTGATATGATACTTGAATATAAACAGCTTTTACAAAGAAATTTCTTTGAAAAGTAACTTCGAATCAAAAATTATTCTTCTCTTCCTTACTTGAATCGTCAAGACCATTCAATAAAATGCTTCCGTTTAGTTCACAAAAAAAAAACAAGGAAATATTCTATGTTGCTCAATGAGACTTGTTTTAGAATTTATTGAGAAACAAATGTATGTAACATGTGAATGAGAATAATCGATCTACTTTTGAATTGATGAATGACACAAATTTGTTTTTCTGGCATCTTATTCAGTGAGATTGAATCAAGATCATTTTTGTTCATCGATATGTTCAGTTACCAGTAGAAATTGATTGTTTTTCACGAATTTTCCACCCATTTTGTTTATACTAGAGAAAGACTACTTAATCCAGCATGTATATATATTCAATACAACCCTGTAGTTCATATTTGAACGATGGACCCACAGTATCATGATTTTATTTATTAATATCATAATAAATACAATTCCTTTCATATATGCATATCAGGTGAGGAATTATTTTTGATTACTTTCAACTCTCTCCTGCTACAATAAATGATCTTTAAAGTTTATCGCTAGACCAAGACCAATAACATGATCATAGATCGACTTTCATCTGTCTAGGACTGACTATATGATACTCAATAATTTTGATTAAAAGAATTGAACTTTGGTTAACAAACACTGAACGGACGAAACATATCCACTCACAGCAATTATCTGTCTTAATCCCTTTAATCTCTTTAGTTCTTTTAGAACCCTCGAGTCCCTTTATTCCTTTTAATCTCTTTAGTCCAACATAATCCCTTAAGTCCCTTTAAAACCTTTAACGCCTTTATTTCGTTAAATCCCTTTAGTGTCTGTAGTTTCTTTAAGGATGAAAATGTGGGGTGTGTCTATGGATGTGCACTCCCTCTCCATCCACATTCATATCAACAAACCGACACATCTAAACCCACACTCACATTCTTAAAGCGACTAAAGGGATTAAAGGAATCAAACACAATAGAAATAGTTCGAGAACCAAAAGAAATAGAGTATGATGAATAAGAATAGTTAAAAGGATTAAAATACATCAAAATTAATAGAAAATATAGACTGTGATAAATTTAATTTCTTGTAGACCTATGAAAAAAAAAACTTATCTATTACTTCGAAATGAAAGAGTCCGTCAACTAAGTAACTGCTATTAATAGATAGTTAAACAATCTGAAGGACAGTGTCTCTAGTCTCATAATTAATTGTTACTTCTGTAATTTACTGTTTGACGAAAATAACCATTTTTCTCACTTCAGACAATCTTTTCTCTGAATATCAAGGCGAGAATACAATAGTCAATAAAAAAAAAGTAATAGTAAAAACATTTGAGCTGTTTTATCAATAAAAAGTGTTTCATTAATTAAAAGCTCGTAATAATTACGATATTGGGTGATGCAATAGTGAAGCTTTCATTTATCATGTTTTTGAAAAAAATTAAATTCAAACAACAAAAGGTTTGCTCTTGGAATGTTCACTACTAGAAGACGAGAAACAAAAAAGATCTACTCAAAACTTTATTGTATCTCCGAAAAAATTAATCTTGCACTGTTCACAGTCTTAGTTTTTCATGTAATTCTAGTTTAAATTATCTATGAATGGTGGATAATGTCTACTTGGAATCGTTGTGAACATTGAAAAAATTCTTCACAAATTCATGTATTATCTTAGCTGGAACAAGGCTTATCATTATTCTAACTAATATAATCGGTTACCGTTCGTAGGGATGGTGAACACAATAGAATAAGTATAACAAAAAAATTGGATTTGATTAATATTTATATGACAGTTTCTACTTGAATTTTGTTTAACATTCTTTTTCTAGAAATTTTTAGTCATTACTATTCAATTCTTCTTAAAGATCAATCAAGTACTGCAGTATGTATATCTTCTGAAGTCATTTCATCTTATCGATGATCATCTATTTCTGAACTCTTTAATGAAATATTTGCTAATCAATATTTTATGATTAACTATTAAATATAATCACATTTTATTTTTATTTGTGTATCTTGATCGACAAGTTAATTGATCCTAATTCGATTACAACAAAACTTATGATTGGGATGGAAATAATTTCTGTGAAAATGAAGTTATTGTGTTTTAGATAATCTAAAATGTTCAACATTCATTTGTGTTTATCATCAATTTTTTTTTGGATCGATATGTCAATATTCGATCAAAAAAATCGACTCTTTTTTTGGATACTATCTTATATTATCACATCCGTTCTAATACTGAATTGGAAGAAACAGAACATGAATCGATGATAGTGGAGTACATCTTTTCGTATCATTTCTTCTCTAGCACAACGTATTATATGAGTGATTGGCTTCATCCTTGCATTGAAATAGAGCGAATAGTCAATGTCTTAAAAGGTATCAATGTTTCTAAATCAAAGGCATCATTTAATGAATGATAAGAAAGAAAAACGTATATGGTGTATTATTATTCACTATTCATCATCTATGAAAATCTTTGATTATATTTTAAATATAGTCAATTATATATCGGGTCTACTTATTATTATCATTGCAACTCTTAGTTGTTCAAACTCTCAGAAAAATAAATCATTCGAAGAACTCTTATGGGAACAATTGCAGTATCATAAGCATTTGTTAATTTCACTAGTGATTCTCATGGTTTTGCCAGTTCCTCATCTAATAATATCATATCTGTCATAAAGTATGAAATCGACTCAAGATTCACGCATTTATCTTGTTCTTTATTCCATCATTGATGACATTGATGATATTTATATTACCAATAGATACGTACAAGAAAGAATTCAAACAATCGACACAACGTGTTTGGTGATAATGAATTTATACCAATGTACGAATATTAATACTGTGTTTCATTTATTCCGAAAAAGTACTTTATGTTCATTTAATTTAGTAAAGCCAGGCAAAATATCTTCAAAGATCTATCAATTACGCCAGTAAATAAGAATGCAACCAACATCGAGTGTTTTCATTATTCGAACGGTTAAAAGTGAGAACAAATGGTTGATAAATCCAGATTTCAATCATTATTACAATGAGGGCAACTGGGATTTTGACAATGAGAAGTTATTGGTGACTATCTTGGTTGGGCTTGACCCTCGTATCAAAAAATAAGAACGTAACTGAAGAGAAAGGTCAAATTCTCACAGATTCTTTTTGAAATCGATCCTCCAGGGAAAGAGGAACCTGTCAATACCCAAAGACAGTAAATATTGACACGATTTAGAAAATGCTTGCCGCGCCGTCAAAAGGCATCAATAAAGTCAAATAAAAGATTTATGGAATCAGGTCGGTAGTCACTTCCTTGATAGCAGACAGATTAGATATAACAGATTAAAACAGGAATATAAAAAGCAATATTTTTACTTGAATTTTAATTCTATACTAAACATTCAACCGATACGTGATTACATGAAAATGGTTGTGATACTGTTTCTTGTATGTCTCACTCTTGCACAGACAACGTACACTACTGCTTCAAAATCAGCTACGCATGGAATCGAAGTGGCTACCAGAATGGGTAATCGTTCACGATTAGATGCAACTGAAAGCTTAACAAATCAACCCAAATGGAGTTTTGGATCGCTTCAATTTCAATTCAGTTCTCCAACGTATAACAGCAATTGGTGGTGTGTCAAAATGTTTGAAGCCACGCCATCCTGGCACGACAATTATCTTTGCATGAATCGAAACATTGGTTTGACATGGATATGGGACAATCGTGCATGTAATACTGGTTTAAAGTGCGTGGCTACTGCGGAACCTGCGGACAATCGATGGCATGATAATGCCTTATGTCTACCAGTAGACTCCAATATTGAACTTGTTTGGTCGTATTGTGGTAGATTGAGTCAAATGAATTGTATTCAACTGTACGATCCTGCTGCACCGGGTTATACTCATGATAACCACTTGTGCTGGAAAGAACATTAATATTTTTCGAAAATACAATTGATTTCGCTGAATAAGAGTGTTCTTTAAACTCTGATTAAGATTATTTAAGCCATCATTCTTTTTCAATAAATATTTATCGAGGGGATGCTTCAATTATAATTTGAAAATGAAAGCTTTACTACTTTTTTCAGACGGACATATGATAGTTTGTTTCATCTCTTTCGAAAAATAGAACGTGTCTACGTCAAAACTATGTGATTAATTGACTGAAAAATTTTTGCTGCGGTCCTTGCAGGATTAAAATATGAAACACAATAGAGTCTACCTACCATAACGGAGTAATCTCGTCACTTTTATTCCAGCTTGTCATGGCTGGATTTTACATTGTGGAAGAAGATTCACTTTCTTTTGCTAGCTATACAGTTTGGCAGTAATGAACATTCGTGTTACACAAAACTTAGATTTTTATAGTAAAGTGGTCATGCTGATCTAAATTCATAAGAAATAGAGGGCAGCTGTCATGATTATATGAAATAATACTCAATAGTATTTTATTTTGCGCTTGATCTCTTAATGAGGGATGGGAACATCTGAGCTCAAAACCAGGACGAGTATTCAACGCTAATGCGACATTGAAATTGTATTTGGTAATTTAAGAAGTGATTTGCTGAATGATACATCAGATATAATGTAAAAATTATGAAATGATATAAAAGTAGTGTCATTGCTGTTGGACTTCTTGCTGCAGTTGGTTAGTATTTTTAAATATCATCAACGAAAATTGCATTTATCTTGTGTCACAGCATTAAGGTTTCAATATATCATTAGTCATAGAACTAGGTTATCTTTGCTCTCCTCGTAAGAATTTTTTTTATTAGAAAGTACTGTCATGTCTTCGACTACTGTTGTTATTGTTTAATACAGAAGTTATATAATATACTTTAAGTGTATCAGAATAATTGTCTTATCATTATTCTCAAATTAAATTCTGAATGAAATCCACTATCGAAGTCTATTCGAGTCTTTGATCGAAAGTAACGAGTCATTATGCGTTTTTCTCGTACCGATATCCAATTTGTTGACAATGCTTTATAGATTGAAACCTGTTTCATTTTGAATTCTATCATCACTCGAATTCTACAAAGAACCATCTATGACTAATTCGCGAATTGAAGTGTAATTCTTATGTGGGTGTGGGCGTGGTTAAAACGATCCCACATCCAATTCAATCTATCCACAATGGATATGTTATCAATTGAATGAACCTTCATATCACGTAGATCATTAAATGAAATATCTGCTGAACAAGGTATTCCACTGGTGCTACTAATATACAAATATGCATGAAAATGAACAGTAACTATAATTGAAAGTTATCGATTCGATATCTAATGATACAACTATTTTTCATATCGGCAACGTAGAGTTTATTCGAAATAGGGTCAATATGGGGACTATGTGGGTTATGTAATTGATTGTTTTCATTACCGAACGCTACCAGACAATGTAAAAAAAAAAGTTTTAATATTGCTGAAAAATTAGATGAATGCAATTGAAGAAGATATTTCAGGATGTGAGTTAGTTGAAAGAATACCAACATCTACATCTACGCCTATCTGTCAGTAAAGTTTCAGTTCGAAATACTGTCATTCAAGTTTTAGCGTATATCATCCTGTAAACTAAAATTAAGTAAAACAACTATAACTCTAACAGGAAGGCTTAAAAGCACTTTTTCTTTTAGGGTTTTTTCTTACCTCACTAAGGTCTACCTAATGCACAAAGACTGAAATTAGGAACGATTTATCACTTGGAACGTTTCCCTCGTTAGTGTCACTCATCAAACATCTAGCAAACCGTTCGACTCTTATATGACTAACTTCAATAGTTACGAAATTCCAGCCATGCAATTCTGATTAAATAGACCGATGAACAATTCATTATTGATCGAATAGAAACCAGAGAAAAGTTAACGGATATTTTGCTCAATACCATCAGCTCGACTCAACTCATCTAACTATACGAAAAAGAGTTTCAAGATTTTGTTCAAATAAAAGATGTTCTCAGTCGATTTTCGAGCGAGTTTATTGTTGATACTTGAGGAATAAGGAAATTATTTAGGAACCAGCTTAGTCTCTTTTCTTTCACAAAGTGTGGGCGTAGGTCTCTGCGTGACAGAAATGAATACGCAAACTCATGTCCACATCCTCCCAGTAGAGTTGTCACATTGAAGTGCTTCACTACGATTTAACAAAAACCTATCAGTATAAATCAATAGAATGAGTGTTTGTATGACTGTGAGTGTCCGTGCGTGCATTCATTTTCATCACATTCCACATCTCACACCCTCAAGAATATCTTAAAAGTCTGATTTCTTGGCCAAGTGCCGATAGTAGTGTCACTTGTATACTTTAGCATTTTTCATTGGCAAGTCAGAAAGAGTTGATATTCTGAATTCAGAGATTTCTAATCATGATCTATTATTTGAAATAGATAAATCAAAAGTTAAAATTTGAACGGTAGTCAGCTTGGTCGGTGATCTGGTGGACTCTTTCTTAACCTTTAAGATCGTTGGCTACAACGTCAATGTTCTTCACAGCAGGGCTTTTACTTTTTACGATATCACAATCTGTCTTCGATGAATGTTGAAGATTAAGAAACATGCTATTGTATTCTTTAAAGCGCTGCTCAATTAAATCTCGCATCAGTCTAAATTGGTCCAGAGTGTATGTGCTGCGACCTTGCTTGCCCTGATGGTTGTCGTGAAGCCGTACGAGCATGACCTTCTCAAATACCTCTGACCATGCAAGTTCGAAATTCTCATATATCCTGCGAGTAGTATCGATCAATTGTGTGACTAAGGCATTGTAAACTATATCGAAAATACGAGCATTCTGATGCGCATATCTGCTCTCCGATCTCGTGCATATGAACCTCCGTATCAGCTTTGTTAGTATCGTAAAATAAACTAGTTTGTACAGTGCACAAGCGAGCCATAGATGGTAACATATCGTCTAGCCGACAATGAAACATGATTAGTGAGGTCGATGGATAGTGGCATATGAGAGTATCTAGGTATAGTAGATGCATTGACGATTTGAAAAGCCAATGAGAACGGAGCGCATCAACATTGTACAACATTTGTATAAAAGTCTAGTAGTACTCGTAGGCAAAGTCCTTGTTCATGTCAACGTTGAACCTTGTTAGGAACTCGATGTTGTCATTCGCTATGAAAACATTTAACCAGTTCAGACTAGCTTGAAAAAGAATGTACTGATCTTCTTCGTAGTCGAAAAAAGGATGACAAGCACGCGCATTTTAGATAGAATCGACCAAGCCTAATTCGATCAACTCCTGACGGTGCATAAATGTGGCGTTATTGCGTTTTGTCTGTGAGGAGTGATGCTCGAGATGTCAGATCACAGGCGAGCAGATTGTAGAGGAGCCTTATGCCAGTGCGAGGAAGACCACATATAACGAGTATTATTGGGAGCATTGAATATGCCATTGCTCTTAGTTTGGGATGACCAGACATGTAGTTGAGCACATTTTTACAGTTTGTGTACCGTTGTTCGAGACTCTTGCAGAACAAGTGACGACCAATCCGCACCAATCGATCGGTGATAAGTACACTGCGAGCGGTTAATTGAAAAGCACGTAATATCTCATTGTGGAAAGGGAATTGTCTCTTGGATTCCTCACTAAGATCGTCCTCACACAGAATGACGCCTGTACACAGCGCGACTTGTGTCTTATCGTTGCTTGCATGACTAGCAGGTATCTCGTGTTGCTTCCTACATACACTTGTACTACGTATGTGTGGAGCACAGAGTTTTATTTCGTCGTCTATATATTTCTCCAAAATATCAAGAACTCTTGGACTATAATTACATGTAATTATTGATACATAATTGCACATACATGCAAATTATTTTTGTATAATTACAATTATCACGTGCAGCAGAAGACATGAGACTCATTATTTTTGCGAGTATGTCTTTTAAATTATGTTGCATATACATGAAATCTTTATCAAAATATAGTTTATGCAATTTTTACAACAACTCATGAAAAGAATTCTTCCAATGAATATTTATAGAATCATATCCTATCAATGCTCCAAGATCGAAAATGAGCCACTTTCAAATATGAATTTGATAAAACTAATGATTTCACTTTTTCTAGTAAAACATATATATGAAACCTTACTTTATTACAAATTATCCATATTTTCAAGTGTACACATTCTAATAGAGCTGAAAAGAATATATTCGGATATGGTTGTAAAGTTTCTGTGATCAGTCTACCTAAAAAACATATTGAAATCTTCATGAAAAATTTTCAGAACGGAAATAGAAGAAAACAAACAAAAGGTTTTGCTCGATTAAATCTTAAAAATGATATACTGACTATACTCATATAGTGTGTATTTGAGCCTTCACTAATTAAACACATAACCAGTATACAAAATATAATAGAACAATAAAAAAACAACAACACATAAACAAAAAGAACATCATTTTCTTATTGCTGAGAGGAAGCAATATTACGACTAGTATTTGTTTCCAATTGTGTTGCATTTTTATTAGATGGCGATGCTCTACCACTCATCTATAACAAATACGAAATAAATTTTACAATATATTTATTTATCTTTGACTTACAAATTTTCGTTTAGATTCTATCATTCTTGTATTCTTGGAAAAATAATCTGGTTCTTGTTCACGTCTTGTTTGTTTTCTTTTCATACTTAACCATTCATCATAGAACATACTTTCAAAAATAGGAACAAGTTCACATGCTCGCGGTAAATCTGATAGATGAATACGCATAAAATCAAATGAAATACAAACATTATCAAATTTTTGTTCTTGTTTTTCATTTTTTTGACTTTCATCCTCGGTTCTTGTTTCAGATAGAAATGGAATTTTTGCATAACGTTGTGAAAAATGCCATAAAATTGTATATTTAGCATTCATTCGACGGCCAACATCAATAGCTTGAGCCATTGTACAATGACGCATTTGTGAAGCATAAACTTCTAAACCTGTTTCAAATGTTGATTCATGGATAAGAACATCAACATTTTGACCTAAATGAAAAAAAATAAATGATCAAACTGATTTTATCAATACATCATCATAGTTTCATTCGAGTGAAAGTTTTTCGTCTTGTAAATAGTGATCATTAATTCTTATATCCTTTAATTATAATCTTTTATCTCTTTTCAATAGTCAACAATAACTATTTGTATATGTTATCAGAAATAGAAATTAAAATATATATGAACCGTTTTATAAATTTCTTCCTATTGAATAACTTATTGAATGTTCAACAAATAATACAAGAAATTGAAACAACGTGCAAAAAAAAAAATATTGCGTTATCAATAGAAGGATTCTACAATATTACTTTTAGGACACTTTATATTTTAATTGCATATGAACCTGGATGAGATCATTTCTTGACTGTCGGAGTTAGACAATTGATGACTATTAACTCAATAAATTTGATGTTCATAATAAAAATTCATTTAAGAAACGATGTTTTAACTATAAAATCTTTAAAAAAAAAACCTATATGAACCGTTCATTTTTTCTAAGTTTATGTTATTATCTATATAAAACGAATCTCGATAATTTAAGATCAATCTTTCATAATATTGGTCCTATAGAATTCTAACCTGCTTGAATAAAATCACTTGATTGTTTACAATCACCACTAAATGCTAATGACCATCCATCAATATGTCTAAGAACTAATGCATGTGCATCATAAATATGTTCAACAAGTACTGTTTGTAGACCATGTAATCCAATAGATTTAAATTTATCAAAAAGAAATATTTCTTCTTCCGTATTTTCACCTCCAATATGTGTTAATGTTGGTAAACCATTTGTTAACATACGATTAAAAACAATATGAACATCATCATCAAATAAATGTTTATCTGAAAAATAATTCCATTGTTTTCGACCAACATCAACATATTTATTTGGACAAAGTAATATTAATTTTTCGTATTTATGTCCAAGATTTTCAAATGCACGTCGACGTTGTCGAATCAAACCATACAAACCACCGAGATGATCTGCATGCATATGAGATATATATGCAAAACGAATATGTGAAAGAATTTCATCCGATTGATCACCATAAAAATGACGAATTTGACCGGTTGTACCTTCTGCACATTCGAGAAGAAATATATTTGCATCACTTGAAGAAAAAATTTAAAAAAAGTCATTAGCACAATCTCTGAACGATTAAAATATGAAACACCATGTAGGTGCTCTTGCTAATCATAGGGAGATTATTGTATGTCCGAGATCGTATATCAAAAACGTTCGTCAAAGTCTTAGAAGGAAGATCCAAATTTGTATCCCTATACTTATAGGCGGCAGAGCCCACCTAATGAAAAACCTAAATCAGATTTACTACAATCTGCTTAAAGTATAGTTTGTCTTCAGTGACTAAGATCACATCCCTATTATACATTTTCGCTTCAACATTAAATTTTTCTTTTCCAGTAAAGCAAATTAGAAACATAATATTTACAAATTAATAAATTCTAATCATTTAATTACTTTATATGAATTAGTATACCACTAGTATTTCGTGGTTTACTGGGACAAGCTGAACCAGTGCCAAGAAAAATAATTTCGGGATATCTAAAAATACTCATTATTCAAATGAAAAAATGAAAAAAAACAACTCTTCTTTACGAATGTCCTGTTTTAGCAATTTCATGCATAGCTTGTAATTGTTGTTTAGCAGCTGTAAATGTTTGTTTAAATTCTTCATTTGCAAGTAATATATCGATATAATTCTGTGGTTGAAGAGTAACTAATTTTGAATTATCTGGTCCAAGAGTTGGACGTATAGGTATACGAGTACTTGTGAAACCATAACTAATATTATCTACAGGTTCAGGAATTTTGAACTCCTTAATAAAAAAAAACGATAATGATTTCGATTAAACCAAAAAAAAAACAATCGTTTGATATTTTACTTCTTTTAATATATTATGATAACTAAGTAATGGAAATATTCCATCATCAATATAATTTAATTGTGTTTGATAACGATAAATAGCTTCCATATGAATATTTTTTTGTGTTTCATCAAGTAATAAATGATGTGTTGTATTCATACTAGAAAAATCATATAGATTTATTTACATGAAAAGATTTTTTTTTGACCAACCAATAAACCTTTTCATCCATGTACGATATATTTCGTTATTTAAGATTGTATTTGGTGCAAGATGAACAATTACATGATATGAATGAGAATTTAATTCACTTTTATTAATAGAATCAAGATAAGCCAACGATGGACAATCGAGTACTAAATTCAATACAAAAAAAAAACAACAGTGCAAAACTTTACGCTTGTTATACAAAGAAATCTATGAAAACACACACATGACATTGTATAATCGTTCATAGTCTTTAGTATTCTATAATAGATGAAATATCATTTAAAAACCTTTTGAGTGAGATGCAAAGACTTCTATAATGTTTTCATTATTAAGGGGGGGGGAGGGGGTCGAGGTTCCTCGATTTTTTTATTCAATAGGCTCATTTGATAGAGCATATTTTTTTACATATATTCTCCAATNAGTAAAACATAATAAAGAAAATGCCTTTTTATCAGCTTGTCCAAACGTAACGCTGTTACGTTTTTCTCACACTTTTTTTTTAATTATCTCGGAAATTGTCAAAGCCTTTCGGATAGAGAACTGCTGCTCGTTTCTGTCGTAGTTTTTCGTTTTCTTCATATAGTTCATGAACTTGTTTAATTTCTTGATCGGTTAGACCCATTTTTTTCTCTAGAGCATGAATTCCTTCAAGTTCTTTAGAATGTAATTCACCATCGGCACTTGCAGCCTGTAAACCAAAATAGATAAGACCGAATCGACTCATTTCTCCATGAGGCAGATTCAAATCTTGGAAAAGTGTTTTGACATCTTTGCTGACGCCTGGTTGATATGCTCGCAATTGATCAAGTGTGTTTTCTGAAGCTCCTATAAAAGAAAACAACAATATATCCGATTTGCTGACGACTAGAATAAAATAATTTACCACATTGAATAGCAAAACCCATAATCCATTCACGTTCTTTCTGAGTCAGTATTCCATCGGCCGAGGCTACATCCATTAGAGTTCTCATGTAAACAAGAACAGCTTCAGGTGTAGCAATTTGTCCATCGTGACAAACCTGATCACGAAAAAACCACTGGGTCACCATTTTGTCTCGTGCTGATAACTCGGTACTCATGATCAATCTGGATCAAAATTACTATAGAATGAAAGAAAAAATTCATTTCTACTGACATCTTATATACATGCGAAACAACTCGAGATGACGCCCACGTCATGTTCGACAACGAAATGAAACGAAAGATTGAAACAAAATTGTACTATAGAATATGATTGAATCATTTATCGATGCTTTCTTTTTCTCTTTCTTTCGTTTAGTGTTACTGCCTGGTATGTTCCACAAATTATAAATCAATTTGTTTCTTTTATTTCCAAATATTGCTTTTATTTAGTAACGATGCTGGATTACCACCCGATGGTTAATGTTTGAAGACTATTTATAGAACAATCCGCATGCAGGAAAGAAATAACTTACTTGTGTGGAGATGAAAGTGTGAATGTTGAGTTTCTTCTATGAGAAAAATTAATTATTCATTGCGTTGTCAACATATTGAAAAGTGTTTTGCTCATTCGAATCGAGGACTCGTACAAAACTCAACAGTGGTATTCAATTAAAATTCTTCACTTGGGTGTGAATGTGGCTGCGGAGAAGATAAATCCACACTCAAATAGAATATGATCGACAATGCTATTGGTCAAGATCAAGGGTGGAATTCTTTTGAAAATCATTCTAAACGATACCAACAATTACCAGTCAATAGATGCTAATGCCACATTTTGCTTTACTATCCAAGTTCATTGAGTTGAGGGCGATCGATTTTATCGAGAATCATGTTGACTAGCCTTCAAGGTCTTCTCTTTTCAACGCCCGTGAAACTTTATTTCATTGTTCTGATTTTCTTGAATGATCATTTCTAAATTGTCGTAGAACAAAACAACTTAATGTTGATCGTGCAGTTGTGTGACGTTGAAACAATATTTCATCATTGGTATTTTCACATTAATGGTGATAAATCTTACAAGTAAGAGCTATTCTTCTTGAAAGTGGATGCGTGTGTGGGTGTAGGTGTGAGCGTGGGCGTGGGCGTGGGCGTAGGCGTGATTGTGGACTTCTTCTTGAATCAGACTCACCTACACACTCTACCCACATCCACACCATTATGACTATCTTAATGGTATGGGTGAATTAGAAAAGTTTCTAAATCTCAACCCGAATTATCAACACCAATTACAACCAATGAAAGTCGAAAAGCTACATTTCTTAATCCAGAGTTCTTCATGGTAACCCTACCATACCTTAGATGGTAAGGTAGGGTAAGCATGTGCGTGGATGTGGGAGCGGATATTGTTGTTATGATCTAGAACATCTCCACACCCACACCCAATGGCATTTGAACGAGCTTTCTAGCTCTTACAATTTCCGAGATAATTAAAAAAAAAGTGTGAGAAAAACGTAACAGCGTTACGTTTGGACAAGCTGATAAAAAGGCATTTTCTTTATTATGTTTTACTCTCGTTTCTCTTTCTTTAAAGATGCTAACTCTTCTTTTTTTTTCAGTTATTTTTGCTGATGTTTTATGTATCATTCTAACATATACAGTTATTATTAGGGAGCTCTTCCTTTAAGATCATTACCGAAAAAAGGATCTTTTTTATGGAAGTAGGAGTTGTGTGATCTTCTGTAGATTACCTCAATCTATTTTGCTGCTTTCATCGATGAGCGTTGATCAAATTCGAGTATTAATGTAACCAGAAATCGTCGAGTACTTGAACGTCACTCTGCTGCAGTAGATTTTTGAAAGTGTATTTACGGTCATGAAGATAATGTCTTTGTTATGCAGCAATGGCAACGATAATATTTTTTCTATCATAAAAAAAAGATCTAAAAATAATATTGAATTCATTCCATTGATTTTGAATCTCCGACTGACAATTATATTGCATGATCAGTATTACGAAACAACTATCGAACTTACCAATGGAAGAACTGTAACAACCAATTTTTAATAAGTTGTCGCGATTATGGAAGTATACAACTGCAATTTGACTATTTGTGAGTTCAATGAACTTAATAATTTGAAGCTAACTGCTTTTGTAATGCGCTATATTTATACTTACAGGAAGTAATAAACAAACTAGAGTCGTTTTATGTGTATCTTCGAAAATAAATGTGTAAGACCTTTTTCTTTGTTATTATACCGTAATTCATATATGACTGACATAATTCTTTGTTTTTCTTTAGTTAATTTTTCAAATTACTAGAATTAGTTCAAACAATCAATGTCAGAAGAACGTAGAGAAAAGAAAAACAGACTATCAACAAAAATAATGCTCCATGTTGAGAATAAACTTGCTTTATTATATTTAATAAAATAAATAACACATGGCTAAAGCAATGAGAATCTCTTTCTATTGAATACAACTACGCATAAAATTGAATCTTATCTTTGTGTGCTCTGTTCAAAGATAATTTCGTCTGAGATGAAGATTCATCTGTGGAAATGAAATATTGATATGTGTAAGATAAATCTTGTCGTTTTCAGATTCTGTTATCATGGATGATGATGATGATGATGATGATGATGATAAGGGTGTGAGAGACTCGTCAAACAAGAAGCACTTGCAATTAATTCTGTTATCTATAAAAATGTATCATTATTTGAAGCGGAGTACGGAACTATTTCTTTTTTTTTTGCTGACGATTGAGTCGAAAAGCAGTTGAATAATATTTTGTTTCATCTCTTTATCATTTGGCTGAATTGTAATGAAAATATTGACCTTATAAGTTCAGCTTTGCAAAAAATTTATTAACATGTTAACTGTTACATACATGATAAAGCGAATTATTTATAGACAAAACGACATTCTACCAGTACTACAGAGTCTGTCCTGTTTAAGAAACAACCTATATGACGTTCAATCGCCTCATTAATCAAATCGACACTAAATGAAGTGTAAGAGGAACGCGAATCAGACAGCTATTCTACTCACCAACTCACACCGACGCCCACACTCCAGACGCTCACCCACTTGACAATCACATTTTACTTCCCAAATTTATCTAGCCGAATAACTGGTCCCAAGTGCAAACATAGAGAGCATTTGTAAAATCATGTTTCAACATTCCATGTTCTGATCAGTTCTAAGAACTAACTTGCAAGATAGCACGTGCGAATGCTGTACCTCCATCGACTGCATGTTCTAAAAACAAGTTTGGTTCCACAAGTTCAAGTTTCATAATGCTCAAGCGTCCAGTCAGGTGATTACGTATCATGTCAACACGTGCATAGATAGGAGTTTCAGAACAGACGGCTAGTGAAGCATGAGCCAGTTCGAACATTTCAGTCGAAGGTTGGTTCACAGCAGTTGTAATACTACCATATTCGTATTGTACGCAATAATCGTCGAGTGATGCTACTTTTCGGACTGCATGACTAAACTGTCCATTAAACATGAGTACCGACAGTTCACCTTCGCGCACAACATTTGACATGAACGGTTGGATCATCATTGTCGAATGAGCAATACCCAAACGGATTAATTCATCAACTGCAGCAGTGACACTCAATGACCTTTAAGAGAAAAGTACATAAATTAAAATAGAGTTCATGTTTTCTCTTTTATTTTACTTGGTGATGAAGCAAAGTCCGAACTGCCAACCAAAACGCGTAACATATTAAAACTAGATGCTGACACTTGAGGTTTGACGATAAGGTCAGTAGTATCAAAATGTGCTGCAGCATCGATCAGTGTTTTTTCATCGATTTCCTCGGCATATAGTGTTGGAACGATTGGAATACCAGCCTTCTTCAATTCTTTCAAATATGTTTTGTGAGTATTCCATAGAAGAAGTGATGGAGAATTTATCAATATCACGTCGTTTGGCCAAGCATGAAGCCATGCTTCCCAACGGTCTACGACAGTATGATAGCCCCAAGCAAGATTGACTACATAGCGAATCGAAGACAAAGAAGAATCAAGAGTAAGGGGTGCCGTGGGCCATGGTGTTGCTATCACATGAGCACCAAGCATCTGAAACTTGAAAGCCAGCTGTTCAACAGAAAATCTCCAATAATCTTCAGCGTATGTATGGTTCAATTCTGGAGTTAGAATAACCACAATGAGTGTGTCTGCCTTAGCCAAAATCGATGGTGGTATTATAATTTTTTTCCTGACACAATGATTTACTTTCTCGGTACATTTATAGTGAACAAAATTCTAGTACTTACTCGTGCTTTATTGCAACATCATCAACTAGCGAGTTTGTAGAAGAAGTCATGTCAAATGCTATGCTTTGTATAAACAACTATAAAAGATACAGAGAGTTATTTCCGATATTCGGAATTATTCGAATGAGTACGCTAATTTAACAAGAGCCGTGAAAGTAAACTATTCTTTCGAACCATGCATGCTCTTTAGTTTCAGAGCAGTACTACGTTTTGAAAAACTAGCAACTACTTTTGGAAGTTAACAAAATCATGGAAAAATAGGTTTCATACGAGATTTAAATAACCTACTTTAAGAAGTTTAGAACGTTTTTTGTATCGAGAAAAGGCTGCTTCATGCATTTTACATGATAATCAAACTTGACCGAAAAAAAGATTCATGAAATTCATCGATATAACTATGTTAGTTAATTCATTTTTTACTTAAGCAAACCTACCTTACTTTGTCAAAACAAAAGGGACTCTCCTTTTTATATTCATATATTCTGTTCCTTATCACTTAAATCAACATAGAGCATATCAGTGGTACACTGCACATTGGTGTATCACATTTAAAGACTTGGCATTATGATTTACTAGTAAAATTTCATACTGAGTAGTGGACTACAGAATATCGCTGGACAGATTCTGGAAACGAGTTTCATTGATATTTTAGCTGAGAATAAGGTCTATCCTTGTAGATATATCTTTTTTTTCTTTCCTTATATTATTGCAACAGTTCTGTAAGAATTAGACGAAAATATCTTTTAACTCTCCTTTCCGCTGGATGCAAGAAAAAAGGAGAATTACCATTGATTTTGTTTTTGTGTCTGAAAGAAGAAGGCAAATTTATAAAACCGTGATCATCTTTTGTAGATCTCTTAGTTCTACCTCTGTTTGAACAACATCAGATACTGTCAAGAATAAACTACCATTATACGTTATATAAAATATTGATGTTATTAGTATAAACTCACCTATCATCAATTAGATTAACAGATCAAATAAAAGTCAAATCAATTTTGGCACTTTCATACAATCTAATTATACCATATCTTAACTTCATATCTTAACAAATGAGAGTCTGGGTGTCTGTGGATGAGGAAGGATTTATTAAAACGTATAGGGAGCGTTCTGATAGCGACATAAATCACATCGAAGGGTTTGTGAAAGACTGAATAGAAGGATTCATCGTCCACACTAACAATCACACATACTTATGAAAGATATATGCGAGACTTCATAGTTATCAGCTATTAACTTTCAGGGTTTACGAAACGCTGAACGAAACTGTTATTAAGCATCGTCACTACTTTCAAAGCTTAATGATCAATGGGATGTTTGGTCGATAATCTTAATAATCGGAGGATAGTTTGTCAAAAAAGAGCAGTGAAACTAGACAAGTTCAACCTGATTCTCTGAATAAATGCTTGAAGATAATGGGAAGAACAAAAAAAAAAGGAAATAAAAACGGATTAAAAGGAATCACTTGAATCGATTTCATACAATAGACGTTTGAAGACGATGAAGATTATAAAATAATGAGAAAAATAAACAATTAGAAGGAATCATTCTAATTAACTCCTTAAAATGAATTCTCGATGACTATCTAAATCAAAGAATCTGACTAAAGGATTTCACACGATTCCTATAAGACCATATCGAAACTTACTATATGATCTTCTATGAGAGTACAAGATCATGTGAAAATCATAAAGGCACTTGAACGATTTTATATGCCAATCTGAAAGTCAGTATTTCTGATGAAATTGTACAGTACAATGTTTGTATAATCTTTTTCTGGGGTCTTGATATAAATTACTCAACTGAGAATTTACGGAGTCTTCAAATACATTCTACAGTTATCCTTTTTTTCTAAATAAACCAGAATATGCCTTATACATCCAAGAAAATTGAAGAGAAATATCAGCTTATGACTATTTTTTGACTATCTTACTTCATATCCCTCTTTGCTTCTTGCATTTTTTTCTACTGTAAAATAGTAAAATAAAAGGACTTTTTGTTTATAATTCTTGCTTGTGCGTGTGTCATTGCCTATCAGGTAACACCCTGATGCAAATTTTGGAATAGATAATTATTACAGATGCATACTAATTGAAGAGAAGAATAGTCACTACAATCTATAGTGTATGTTTGCATTTCTATTTTATGTATTACACTCGATATTATTTCGTGTATCAAATAAGTATGATATATAAACAAAACAAAAAATACTCGAAAAATAACGTTAAAATGCATCTATCTGAGTAGAATAATGATACAACAGTGTTTTAACGAGCTACCTAAACTCATCAAAACAGGCCTATATTGACGTTGAAACGGGCTTAATCATCGATTTCATCTGCTCAACGCATTAAGACGAGTTGACATAAAAAAATAACGTGTTCTAACGAGTTATTTTTCTTAATACAAGAAGTAAACGAGTTATATAGTGCTGTTTCCTTCAATTTTCGCATTCAATATTTCAAAAGATCGTTTTTTTCGTTTATCTGTCTGTATGCGAAAAGATAGTCTATTTTTTTTAGTCTTTTCTTTAGCTAGAATTTTTTTCATCATTTATTGTTAAATTCTTTAGCAGTTGCATCATCTGATCAACAGAAAGATTCTTTATTGTGGTGAAATAATTAAAAAATTTGTCACAATACAATGATCTCGTTTTTTTCTTGAATTATTCATCTTAGGAGAGTTATAAATGACTTCCATAAACAATCGTCATTTTCTGTTGCAACTGATCGGTATACAGTCATATGCGACCGTGACTAATTCACCTGGAGAAAAGAAGTAACAAATCAATTGTTACTTTTAATTTCAATTTTTATCATAAAAACAGCTGTTAGCATAATACTTGAAAAATGAAAGTGTAAATGTCTCGCAAAATGAATGCTCAAGAAAAAACTGAAGATGGTCGAGACAAACAATTTAGAGGAAAAAATGTGCTGATACTTTGCATTAACAATATCTCATCAATAAAAACATAGAGTAGTAAAGTCACACCCGACATCTTCGTAAAGCAGTAAAATAATTTACACGAGAGCAGCAGGAAAATTGTTTAGCTATTGGTCATTTTTACTCAGAGTAATGACTGAATCATAACATCTTTTTTAAGCATTCAAGCACGATATTCAATGATTACGGCTATCATAGAAAAGAATTCGGAAAGTAAAAATAAGTCTATGATCGTAATTCATCATTAATTCATATTGCATATGAAAAAGAAAACAGTAATCCGTTGATAATTTTAAATACAAGTATAACAACAGAGAATTTATTCAGTATACTTTTGAAATTATTGAAATGTTCATATGTTTAGCATAGACAAATGCTGAATGTCAAAAACAATCACTCAATATGAATGCATCCGTAAAGTTTTGCTTAGAATACTGTATATTACTAAAATGAAGTCTATTGTAAATGAAAATTATCATATTTCACTTTCATACTATATTCATAGTCAGAAAACTATCGGAATTGATTAGATTTTTTTAATTAAATTGATGACTATCGATTAGATTTCTGAAAACGCGAGCTGAATAAAAAAAACTCATTCGACTTTCTTCTACAAAAATTAGTAAAATCATTAATAACATTTGTTGGAAGATACTAGTTTTCTATAGAAAACTAGAATCATCCATGTAAAAAAGACACCCAAAAAATCAGATTAAAATCAGATTTTTTAGCATTAAAAGTAAAGATTATTTTGATTTTAATCTTTCTTAATCTATTTTAATCGATTAAAATAGATTAAAATCAAAATAATTTCTTCTTTTAATGCTGAAAAATCTGATTATAATCAGATTATAATAGTGCCATTATAATAGATTATTAATCCGAAAATAATTCATTATAATCTAATTTTGAGTCGTTTGTTTTTTTACATGGGCACTAGAGCATCAATAAAACGAAAGCACAAACTAGTAGAAAAAACAATTTTGATAATATGTTATTGATGTTTATAAATGATGATAATTAATACGTAGTGACTATAATATTATTAATAGATGAAGATATTTGATTGTTCATATGATTTCTTTTTATTTTCTTCTCGTTGTTTCCAACTAACATAAATTTATTGTTATGATTTATCTTAGTATTGTGTTGATTCATTTACTATGAATAATACGTAAAATTTGTTGATGAATGACCAGATTTAGAAAATATAAAGTTGTAGAGAAGCAGAGTGCATTGTAGTAAATAAAAGAAAAATGTCACTACGGAACGAGAAAAATACGTAACTGAAGGATATTTATATAAATGTGCGATATATAAAAAGGCAAAAACACATCTTTACAATATATGTTCATGATAGAGTATGATATTATTTTTTCATTTATTGTAAATAAAGATGTAATGGAGATCAAATGTTTTGCCGTAGGCAACTTCTTTTTTTTTTATAGATAAGTGCAAATATTTTCCTCTGCTTTCCGCTTCACTGTACAGCATGGTTACGTGCCTATTCATTTTTGCAGTTTTGATAGCAGCTGAAACACACTAAAGTACACTAACAACAGCCACATGGTGCACTTAATACTTCTCTCACTCTTTTGCATTCTTTCATATAGTGCAGCTCAAAATTCTACCGTACTATATTCAGTATACCCGTGGTTACGACTACCGCCAACTCCTCAATTTTCTTCTCCTCTGTCCGGTCAAAATGTTCAGATCAATGATATTATTGTATGGTACTCCATCTATGGTCCGAAGAATGGTATTCCTGTTCTCTTTCTTCATGGTGGTTTTTCTCATAGTGATTATTGGGCATTACAAGTTGAACAACTTAAATCATCTTATCAATGTATACTTATGGACTCTCGAGGACACGGTAGAAGTACAATGTCATCTGCCAATATTACATATGATTTGATGACATCTGATGTTGTTGCTTTGTTGGATCATCTTGGCATTCAACGAACACATCTAGTTGGCTGGAGTGATGGAGCGATTATCGGTCTCAATTTAGCAATGAAATACCCAGATAAACTGAGTTCATTATTTGCATTTGCCGCAAATTATATTCCTTCTGGTACGAAAGATGTTTTTGCTTCACCTGTTTTTACAACATTTCTTGACCGAACTCAAGCTGAGTACGAAACAATAAATCCGATGAAGAATTATTCAAATTTATACAATAATTTAACAACAATGTGGGCTACTCTTCCAAACTGGACTCAACAAGATTTTGCAAAAATTAAGACAAATTTGCCTGTTTGGATAGTTGATGGTGATCATGAAGAAGCTATCTTTCAAGATCAGCCGGATACGATGACCAGTTGGATTTCACAAGCAGGAGAACTAATTTTGCCAAGAACGAGTCATTTTGCATTCATACAGGATCCTGAACTTTTTACTGCATCTGTGGCAAGATTTTTGACAGAGGCAGCTTGTTTTGAATGTAATAGTACGACATCGATGCACTCAACAGCTATCAGTATCTTTGATTCATGTTTGCTTTCTTATCCTGAGTTTTATTCTTTCAATACATTTAAGCAGTTTATTTTTTATGGTCTCCGTCTTTTTTTCGCATACATACATGTGGTTTTCTTGCTCTGTTCATTCAATTAATTGTTTTCTTTTATTAATATAAACGTCTGAGTAGAAGATTTTCAAATAGAGATAAATACCTCCCTTCAGATCTTTAAAATATCGCCATAGAAGATAAAACTTTCACACTATTTAATTTTCATATCATGACCTTTATGTTACAGAAAGAAAAGCCTCTTAAAGATAAAATCTTTAAGGTATTCCTTCGTGCCATATGTCCTGTTCATAGTGATAGAAATTCTTTTTTTATCTGAATATCCGTTGCATTCAAAGCTCTATCATGTGGATATGGCTTGGTCATGACAACACTAGTGAAAAGACTTGATTGAATCAACTCGATCTGATTAATGATTTATCCGCTGACATCATCAGAAGGTGAATTAATTGTTACACTCATCAAATAACAAATGTTACCAGCATTTATCACGACTTGTTTTCATAGCATTATTTTAATAAGTTTCCATGTTTTATTTTACTATCAAAGGGAAGGAATTAGAATTATGTCTTTGATTAATCACAATTAAAATTTGTTACATGCAGTGAATAGATAAATCAAGTGATTTCCATACATTTTAGTAGTCTCTCTTTGTTTTGTTAAGAATTTTCAAAGTATCTTGAGTGTGAGTATCGGGAGAATGTGATTTGCTACAATACTACACCGACTCGCACAACGACACCTATACCTTTAGTCGGGTACCAATGCATTAGAATCCATCACTTAGAAAACATCTTTAATCGAAAGAAAAAAAACAGATTTTCAGTCGTATTGCACTATATGAGATTTGTATGCGTACACATTTCAAAATGAAACAACTCGCTTTCTTCAATCTCTCGATCTATGTCATTTTATGAAATTATCTCAACGAATTGTATATTTCATTGTTATCATCAATGCTGTGTTCCAGTCTCCCGATGGCTGTATAACATGACATGATATTATTACAAATGTTTGTGACATGTGCACAAATCTAAGTATAAAATAGTAATGTATCTGTTTTTCTTTGTAGATCGTTTTCAGAATGTTGCTTGTGAAAAATGATCAATATTAATTTTCAATCTACAAGATCATTCGGTTTTGTTTTATAAATAAATTCATTTTACAGTTCGATGCTATGCAACTATGATATTTAGTCATATAATTAAAAAAAACTGATATTCTCAATTAGTTTTCGAAACATTTTTATCAATAAACTTGATTTAAATACAAAAAAAAATTCATCTGATATTAGGTCGTTCATTATCTACTCTCATATATCTGACATTACAGATCGATATCGATAATTTAATATTCATTCTATCAATAACCTATTCAATGCTCAAATCCAGATAATATTATATTANTTTTTAAATATGTGCATACTTTGATTATACACTTTCAAGTCTATCAGATACTATAATAGTATTGAAAAAAATGTATTATATATCGTACTAACCGAAAAATTTTTTTTTTATAATATTTATTTGATTTAATTTTGTTTATATTTTTGTAGACATACATGCGTATAACAGTTGAAAATAAATTGAACATCAATTAAATTAATTATTTATTTATTTCGAAAAAAGTTTTATATGTCATTGTTTTCCATAACTTGAAGATATTTTTCATTTAGATTTAGTTTATCAGATGCATGTAGAAAAAACAGCCTGTAAAATGCAGTGCCGTTGCAGCTTTTTCCAGGCATCTAAAGTCTTTTTGTAGCGGATATTAGTGTCCTATATATTTCCTATATAGTTGAAGAAAATCCTATGTAAACGCTGCTTTCCAATTCCTATATATTCCTATATTTCCACAGAGTGGCACTACGAAGCCAGGACCTATAATATCAACGGTTATATTATTATTATTATAATTCGTAGAAGACTTAAATATTTCACATACAAAAAAAGACTTATTTAAATCCATGCTAACAAACAGAAATTGAATGCAATTTTCTCAATCATTGCGTTTAATTTATAATCTGACTGACGTGAGAAATTTAAAATAATAAAAAACTGACAGGATTTATATCGTTACATTAGAGATAGAATTTCCTTCAATGTAACATAATTTCTCAAAAAATACTTCTATACGAAAATCTTAATAAAATTATTCTACATAATTGATCATCTTCTGTTTTTTTTTACCTTCCACAAACTCTTAAAAATCTTTGCCGTTCATTTTTTCACCTTTTGCTAAAATACGTGATACAGATTCTTCTGACAATGATGCGATAACCTACGATGCAAAAGTATTTGCCGAAATCTTCAGGCATGCTTCTTCACTCAAGAACATCGTAGAAAGATCATCCTTTTCACAGTTGAAAGAGCAACGTCTTAACTTCAAAATGCATAGAAAACAAAATTATTTGGGACTAACTCTGAGTGAGAAAATAGTTCCATATCAAACGTCACTTAAAAGGCTCTTGCAGCTTACTCTTCTATTCAAACGTACCTCCCATATCAAAGCTATTTGTCGTTATCACAACATAGGTCTCAAATTATATAATTACAGTAACAAGAAGTACTTTTATTACTCTTTCAAATGGGATAGGATAGATTATGTTTTGATCCATTTTTTGACTTGAATCTCACAACTTTTTTATTAGTTTCAAAAAAATTGGTCACTAAACCTAATCAATGATTGTCAGATGTTGAGCGAAAATCTCTCCTTTTTCTACAACGCATTTTCTGAAACAGCATACCATGTTCTACAAATTCAAATTATTTTTAATCTTTATTAACATGTTTAGAGTTCTGAATAGTAAATCTTTCTCGATGTCCAATCTTTCTGATGCAAAGTAGTGTTTTATGTCAAAATTAAGTCATATAATGCGCGTTATTTCCTATTAAAGAGTAACTGAGAAACTTTCTGATCTAGGGAAATCGATAGAGTTTTGCGCGCACTACTTTCTCATTAATTTAGCTCTCATAAAAACGTTTTGTTTCGAATTGTAATAAAAATATTAAAAAAATAGTTTGTTATAAGAGCTTTTTTAGAGACGTTTGATATGGAACGTTTTTCTCATTCAAAGTTAACTTCAAATAATTTTGTTTTGTATATGTTTTGGGGTTCAGACTTTACTCTTTCAACTGGAAAAGAATGATCTTTCTACGATGTTTTTGAGCCGAGAACCATGCCTGGAGATTTCGGCAATTACTTTTGCATCGTAGGTTATTAAGAATTTTCGAGGCATTGAATTTTATTAAATCTAAAAGTTTTCTATTTATAATAAATCTGATTAGATGTCTTCGGAGAATATCCCCGAAAACTCTATTATGCCCTAGAGTAAGAGGTAGATAGATAGTTAGGTATAGGAGTTATAGAAGATATAGGAGTTATACTAAACAGTTATTTATTTTTTTATGATGAATTTTTTCGAGCAAGGTTCGGCAAGTGGCACCCATATATTATATGAATACATGTTTAAATTCAAACAATATTGAATGATTAGCTGTATCAGTTAATCAATATCTCCTGTACCTATCTATCTATCTATCTATCTACCGCTTACCCTAGGATATAATGGAGTTTCCAGAGATACTCTCCGAAGAGATCATATGATAAATTTGAAGAAAAAAAATATAATCTTTAAAAACAAATTTACATGAGCACAAAAGGAAATTACCCAGGTGCTAGCAAATTTTCATAGACGACAAAAACAAGACAAAATTTATGTATAAAAAAACAATACACTGCTAAATAAATATATATTGTAGTCACTCTTTATAAAGAAGTTACATGATAACTCTTTATACATCTACATCTGTTTTTTAAGCTGTTTGATAAACAACAAACAAAAAAACAATACAAAATTTTTATTCACCTGATCATGTATTATTAAATGCTGATTGTAATTCATCAATAAGATTAACTTATTGTAAACGAATATGATCTTGACAAAATTCCGAATCACTTCAACTATTGAATCTATCATTTGTTTTTCCAAAATAAATTGAATTAAATGTCTGACAAATTTTATTTTTTATTTCTTCAGCCATTTTATCAATATTAATAATATGTTGAGAAATATTTATTAGTTAATTATCCTTAATATTTTATCGTTCTTCTTGAACAGAAGAATTGATTATTATTTCAACGAAATTGTTTTACTTGGTACATAGCGATGATAGCACAAACTTTTATGTTTAAATTGCATTATTATCTTATGCATTTCATTTAAAAATATGAGTTGGTTATTGTTGTTCTTATTTTTATCAATGTTGATAATTTATAATGGAATTAACAGTAATTGAACTAGAATAATTAATTTCATGATACGAGTAGACTTTAATTCGTCATTAATCAATATTTTTACCGAACAAAATAGTACTCATGATTTTTTTTTGGTAAATGATCACATAAAACTTCATAATAAGTATCTTAATGTGTTTGACTAAACAAAACATCAACAATTGTACTTCGTATACGATGTGATACATTCGTATCAGAATGAGCAGTAATAATTTCAGTATTTGAATCATGTATACAAAAACAGTCTATTAGATTTAAATAAAAAATTTAGTTTAATACAAATTATTATTGTTTATTTTTATTAGAACGTTTTGCTGGGTGTGGATGGGTGTGAGTGTAGATGATGAGTATGTTGATACACACACCCACACCCACATTCACAACCACACCCGTTTTCTTGATGCTCTTGATTTTTTTATTGTCCATCCATGAAAAAATTGTTTACAATCTATAATTTCAGTAAGCGGTTATCTGAATTCCCTGAATGAAGCATTTTTATAGTCTTGGGCTTAATAAAGATCATATTCGATCGCAATCATGACATTTTTTAGAGATAAAAATCAATAATCTGAATTTTTGCATGCATGTAGCTTTCGGTCGATGGTTTGATGAATCCTTCATTAAATGCTGTGGTTTTCTCGTTTCATCTCATCTAAGTCGAAAAAAATCGATATGAACCAATTGGTATACATATTTTTAGCAGAACTACTCTCTTCTCTTAGATATTACTGGTCCATCTACCTGTTGAATATTTTCATACCTCCAATCAGAAGAGCTGACACAAAGTATATTACAATAGTTGTTTACTCGTTTTCTTTAACACACTCGGTCCCTTATTTTTCTTTCTTACTCTGCGCCTTTCACAGACTCAATACAGTTTTTTTCTCTATTTATTTTGCTTTAGTGAAGGCAATTGCCATGACGCTAATTGCATACTTACTTTTTTAAATAGAATTTTTCTTTTCTCTTTCACATAATTGTTTCACCTCATTGGTTAAACATTTTTTTTAACACACTCGGTCTCTTATTTTTCTTTCTTACTGTATGCCTTTCACGGATTGAATACACTTTTGCCCCACATGTATTTTACATGAGCTCAAGGAAAAAAAACGATGATTATTGCCTATTCGTTTTCATTCGAACGCATTACTTACCTTATTTAACGCTCGAACTACAACACATAATTTATATACATGGCAACTCAAACTAAATGGCCACATCTCATCGGCAAAGATGGTGACGAAGCCGTTGAAATTCTTAAGAACGAAGGTTAAAATTCATTTGTTCCATATATTGTCAAGACTATTTTTCATTTTTATTTAGGTATGGAGCCACGAAAACTCCTACAAGGAATGTGCGGCCTCAGCAGAACTGATGCAGAAAATCCAAAATTCATCATAGTCAACGTGGACCAGGACAACAAAGTAATCCATCTCACACAATAACAACATATCAATTTCGCAATGATTAGTGTAGTTATCCTGCAAGTTTTAGTTGATTACGAAAGAAAAAAAATAAATTAACTTGTTTCGTACTAGATTATTTTTAAAGCATAAATAAAAGAATTAGTTTAAGTATCATTATTATTTCTTTTTTAAATTCTGCCATTACTAAAACAATTTGCGACTCGATCAAGCAATCACCAAGAAAGTTATTCGATGGTCAGAAATGCAACTTGATTCAAAGGAATTTCGTTCGATTTTGCATGCTAGCAGAGCTGAATGGATTGTTCTTTAAGCAGATATTTTATACAATTCTTCATCTAGAAAAACCGAAGCAATACTCTGAAGATCTAATTAACTGCTAGAGCTTTAAAATAAAACGAGAAATTAGTGATTCTTTGCATATGTATCATGCGCACGAAGTAATCCCAGGGTAAAATAGACCTTGATCTAGTAACTGTCAGACTTATTAACACCTATGAAAGAGTAGAGTAGTTTGACATTTCGCATTTATTTTTGAAAAATAATCAAAAGAATCTCATCAAGTTAATTATTCAATTGAACAAATGAATATTCCATGTTGATCTTTACTTGTCTATTATTTTTTTAACGCATTTAATGTCAAGATTTATATGCATATACTCATTCGTTCTACTTAATTGATATTGTCAATGAAAATAATAATGTATTTTTTATACGTAATCTGAATGTATAATGAATGATTGAAAGAATGACATTTGTTTTTTTTCTGTCTTATGTTCATTCAACATATCTGATATAATGATTATTCACAATTATCGATTACTACTTTTATCTTTATAACAAAAGAAGTATAGTTCAAGATATGAACAAAAAAATTTGTTTTAATTTTTAATTTTTATATAGATTGATGCAAACATAGTAATTTTCATATTATTTTTTTGTTTCTGTGTTAAATTACATAGGCAAGAGCTCAACTATGAATCAGCTTATTTCTTTGAGGTTGAATCATCGGTGATCTAGATCAGAAAATAAATATATGGTAATTATTTATTGAATTAAAAGTTGGGGTTTACAAGGATTGGAATCAATATTTAAATCAAATGATTAAAGAAAAATTTACTCTTTTGATTAGTTTTTGAGTATGTTAAAAGTAAACAAGACTCTCAAAATCTATTTGTTAATCTCAATCTTTAGCATATATTGCATCAGGATAGATTTTATTCTGTCTATCAATCAATATAATACGACAAGCTGTTCAATGTTATACTGGAGAAGAATAGCATTAAATGAACATTGTTGAAAAAAGATTCTATTTGGATTTGAAAAATGAAAACTAAGTCAAAGAAATATTAAAAATTGATAATAAATCTGGAGCGATATTCTAAAAAGTGAATAATCTAAAATGATGGCTTATGACATATAATCTTACAAGAATGATCAAAAAAAAGAAAATATTTTTTTAATCTGATAGAATGTTGTCTTTGTTATTGTTAAAGATATTGCTCTCTATTTACAATTTACAATTTACAATATTCGACTTTTCGACGAAAATAAAAATTTCGGTGAGTTAATATCAAATAAAATTCAATGTTATGAATATCGACCAATATTTATCTAAATATAAAATATTTTAGAATAATATTTTGATGATTTTTCATGAGTCTATAATAGAATCTTATTGGAATATAATGTATGGCGAGAGAGGATTATTAGAATCGAAGGATAATATAATATAAGTGTTCATAAAATCTATTTAACAATAGACGAAAAAAAAATACAATAAAAAAGAAAACTAACTGAATAGAATAAAGAGAAAAAGAAAATTTGTTTATGATAATCGACCAGTTTATTTGAACTTGAAATCGATTTAAGGCAAAATATGTGGTTTGTCATGTTTTGCATAAAATTCATTCTTCTTTCGTATTCTAGAAAATAAAAAGAGAAAAAAAATTATAGTATTAATAGGCTATTCAGGTCGATCATTTGGGCATATATTTGATCAAAAAGCGATTTGGCAATTGGAGACGCCTTCTTATCAGTCAAAAGACGTCTAGTGGTAGTAATACTTCCGGTACATTCTACAAACTGTGTATTTGATTGACCATGAGAAGCAAGCAACATTTTTCTGTTTCAAATCAAATCACAAGAAAACAAAAAAGACAAAAGATGAAATAATCACGTAATTGATTAAGCAGTACAACTGACATTCTTTTAGAATATCACTTGGAAATAGAGATGAGAGTGTTCACGAAGAAAAGTTACACATACCTTGAGGTCGAGTATTAGAAGTATCAGTTTAGAAGTAGTTCAAGTCATTCAGAGAAATTGAATTGTATTCGTTTCTCTTGTAGAACACGGGAAATATATTCAGTCCTCAGCACTGTTTGCATTCTCACTTAGGTTCAGTGTGGTCAGTGTCTTTTTTGAAAAGGCAGTGAATGATGCATTGAGAAGATGAAGATACTACTTAGTTTTCTTCCAAAGCTTTGGTCAGATGTTGTATTCCGTCATCATCAATTTGACTCATATTGAAGACAAGTTTGATCAGTGTCTGCTTCCAACTGGCAGTGAAGGATAGATATACAAGGTGAAGAGGGTGTGGATGTGGGTCCTTTTTTAATTATAGAATTTAATAAGTTTTTCATGCCTTATGCATGAATATCTTTCATTAAAATCTAAGAGAAAATAATTTACGAATATTTATCTCAGATGATTTTTTTTTCGTCAATGCTTTCGATCATGTTCTTAACAATGAATCAAATTTTCATCTTCGATTTATCAAACTGTTTCCAATTGACAGATATTCCGAAGAAATCCCGATAATTATACTAGATATAAAAATATAGTTAAATTATTGAAGAAAAATGTGACAGAATGAAGAATACTGTGACCAAACAAGTGAATAACAAAAGTAGTTTTGATTGAACCGATTGATAAGTCATATCTAGAACATTATCAAGTAACATATTTGAATTAAAGAAACTCTGAAACAGTGCTAATCTCAAATGGTTTTCAAGAAATTGATGGAAAATAATCAATTGAAAATTTGAAGAACTTTTTCTAGACTCAACGTAAAATAAATACATTCAACTATCATCTCTACTAATGATAAATGATTATTTTAATTAAGTTGTACCAATTTCTATTATAATCTGAGTTGATGAATGAGAGTGAATTAAGCTCGTATTAAATATCAGACGTAAGATCAGATAAGATTATATGCGTAGATTATTTTTCATTATATACAAAGTTGTATGTCTTCTCTTAATCCAATGTTTCAATTGCATTTGAGTAGATGACTAAAAGCAAAAATCTAACAAGTGTCGAAAACTAGAGAGATCTCGAAATGAAGTTCACAAGATAATCACACTTTCAACGTAGGAAAAGATAGATATGCGTTTGTGGAAAATTCGTACAACATCAAATAAGTGGAAAGGTAGTTCGATTTCTTAGATGCAAATAAGCAATACATATAAGTATAAGTCATGAGAGGCGACAAACAATTACAACAGCGATCTTCTAACTACATAATCAAACGATAGAACGTAGACTGTTCATTGACTGTCTCTACAGCCTTGTTGTTCTCTGTTGAACAGTTGGAAAACAGGTAATAACGGAAGAAAATGGATAGACTCGATTGCGTCCTCTTCTTATGTTTGCTGACAAATTAATTAATGTCGAACGCATTTGTTCGCGAAAACTTTTCGAGGATACGCAATAGCAGTAGAATGAACTCTAAAAATGCAGCAAACAAGACATACATGTGTAATTAAACATTATTTTAACTCACCGAAAAGGTACCATAGAAATAAATGGTAGAAAAGGTGGATACCAATTGTTCTTGAGCGACGCGAGAGGCTGTCTTAGAAACGCCGGCTGTAAGCAGAATGTATAATTGAATGATCCCATAGGGAGTCACAAACACAATGACAATGACAATATTGTACAGCGACATTCGAATCATCTGTCGAATGAGAGTGGAGTGAATACGTCGTTGTTGTTGTAAGTTGATCAAATGTGTATTGCAACAGGTGAGTAGACCAAAGACGGAGATCACTGCAACTGGAATGGTGACATAGAGGCAAAGATTGATAAAATAGAGTTGATATTGGTTGTATGCGCATTTAAAGGGTTACATGCGATAGCTTCGGTCGCTGTCACTACCAGATCTTGGTAGAAAGCAAAGGGCAACGAATGAAGAAAGCAGAAGACGAGAATTCCGATCAAGATACGGCGCGTATATTGGATATTGCTCTTCTGGCGTAGTCTGGCTGATGAAGATGAACAGAAAAAAACTTCGATCGATTGCACGGCAAGTAAACTGAATGAGATTATATTGTTCATGGTAATCCAGTACCGCCGTATTTTACACCACGGTCGATTTATTGAAGCCCAATCGATCTGAAAGCCTGCAGCCAGAATACGCGTACCGAGACCGACAAAAAGAGCATTCAGCCCTAGTAGAGCTTTGGCCAGCATATAGAGTGAACAGGAATTGTGTTTGTAGTTACCCAGATAGAAGAAAGTGATCAGGTTAAGAAAATTATCGAAAATGCCAGTGACGAAGAAGAAAAATCCAGATACCAGATTTAGATACCGCGAGACAACTTGAAGTTCGATGATGAATAATGAGTCAAGACTATTGGTGCTGTTTGATACCATCTCGATAAACAACCTTTTTTTTTTTATCAGCATCGTCTATGGACAAACAACTTTATTCTTGTTCATAAAACAAAGCGATAATGTCTATCGTGTCAAATGATGAACGAAGAAAGACATCATGTTACTTCAGCAGCCCTTCTCATATGCACAACACTGCATAATGGGAGGCTTGCGCAGAGGCATAATTGAATTAATTTGCAATCACAAGAGCTGGGCGCATAGGTTGAATCTTAGATATAGATATTTTCAGTTTTTCTTAGCATCGGAAGAGATATAAGAGCGTTGCCGCGAACATTTTATAATACTTAACTTTGTCATGTCTTTCGATTAAGTAAGCACACTGAACCAATGGCAGTTTCAGTTGTCTCGAATTTATACGAGTCTTATTGATATTTTCTGATAACTCTTTGCACCACTGATGTACTTCCTTTGCAAAGTCCTAATTTTACCGTCGAAGAGAGATCAACATTTATACTTTGTGTCAAGATTCTCAAGTGTGACTGACCTTTTTTCTCGTCTGAATGTAAATGCCGAAAAATAGAGTTTTAACATTTTCCGGTAATTGTTATGTTACAAGTATGCGAAGGTTTTTCTGCGCTATCCTCACATAGATGGCTCTTGGCCACAGTCGAAATTCCGTTTGAATTTTGAACTTGGGCAGTCGTATTTTCTTTACCGAAAAGAATCTTAGTGAAACGGTTTCCCCCGAACCTATGTTCGATATTTAAACGATTCCATTTTTATTTTTTTATCCAATTTCTCGTCTCTTAGACTCACTTATAAAAGTGAGAACTATATGCGAGTCAGCTCCTTGACGTGAAGCAAATTGGTCGCTCAGGAAGACAAAAAAATGTGATTGTATCTCTTTCGTACATTAAAGAGACTATCTTCAGTCAGTAAATTCAATAGAAAAACGCGTCAAAAATCGAACACGTTATAATTTTCAGACAGATTTTTAATCTTTTAAACTTCTATCGCGTATAATAACTACCGTAGTAAAAATACAACACTTGACGGCATTATTATTTTTTAGATATATCGAAAGAAAGGTTTTTATTCTATTAATTTTTTTTATGCACTTACAACGCATTAAATTGTGAACTTTACAATTATTGTCATGATAGCCTCTAAATAGTTTTCGTTCTATTCTCATTCTGTTATCACTATCATGTCAAATAGATTGGATGTTTTTCCAATCTGTTTAAAACTAACCCATAAAAAAACTTTGTATTTGGCTTAAGTTTTCCAATATGAAATACGATACAATTTCTGTACTGTGCAGCTTGAAGTAGATATAAAACAAATAAATTCTACTATCATGACAATTTTTCAAAGAGTTTCGAAGTTTAGAATTGCCGGTTTTTCTCTTAGTGTTTTTTTAACTTGAAAACATGGGTGTATATCAATGCGCTCCCATGTATGAAGAAAGAACTCATAAGTACGTAGGTTTCATCACACTTCGATATTTTCGTTTGAGACTAACGTATATGTACGTAAAACTGTCTGATAAGTATAAACTATCTTTATTTGCTTTTTCTGGTTATTTTCAGTGGCATTAGTGGATGGAATTTAAAGATGGATGACGTTTCTTTTCCGTTCTCGTTACCGCAAATAAATAATAAACTACTGATACAGTTGATTAATTTCGAATAATGCTCACCAATTTAAATGAAGGTCACAATCTGCTTATTGTTGAGAGAAGATAAGAATATTTATTTATCAACTAAGTCAAACTGTAACCATCTTTAAGAAGAGAAGATGCACTAAGTTATATTACAAAACAGCTCAAAGCAGCAGTTTGTTACACAAACAAAAATGAAATTGCGAAAGTAAGAAGATAAAATAGACATATAAGAAAAAAATTAGAATTAGAAATGACATGATATCAGATGGAAAAAAAATTAAAAAAAAAGATATGGTTTAATACTCAAGAAAAAACAAAAGAAAGACGCTCAACTAGTTCAAAAATATTTCCGAAATTGATTATTCGTTCTGCTGAATAATTCTAGAGAAGTCGTAGCTGATAAAAGCTGGAAGAAGATCGTCAACAAAGATTGAACTAATAAAACACATATATGCGTTTTGCTTCTATTTAAAATTCGTACGTGAGATGTGTAGTTCTCTCTGTACCCATATTATAAGACCAATATTCCTGACGTTTTTTGAAAATTTTTTATCTAAACCTGTGAAATGGTAATAAACACTATGTACAAACTTCATGAGTTGTCTAATTCGCGTTTGAATGCAAGCAAAAACTCCACTGCATAACATCACTTGGAAAATAAATGAAAAAAATCGAGTCTTCATTTAACCATAGCAAAAACAGACAAACAAAAGATAATCCTTCTTTCTTCTAATTATGACTGAAAAAATAACTTCTATATAAACTGTGACAGACAAGTAAAAGATATAATAAACATATTATTCGGTCATCATATTACCATCTTCCGAAACAGCTTTTATGTTTATCAGTAAGTCATCACAGTATGTAATTAGATCATTATCTACAACAACTATCACAAACGCTGTTTTTCTCACGTAAATGATTCAATGTTTTCATGTATCTAAGACAAGAAATTAGTTGAAACACATTAAATCTCGTTAAAAAACAGAAAACTAATGAGTTGATGCTCAACATAGTAAAAGTAGTTCAAGAAAAACAAGCGACAACACATTTTTCAAAAACGTTTGTCGAGTTTTACTGTATTTAAAATTATAGACGCGTTAAAACTAGTGAAACTCTAAATTGTATTAGTTTGGCGGTGCGAATGAGAATTTGACTCGAATATAATCAATCTTTTCGTGTACCAATACAAATGGTTCGATTGTGAGACGAAAATCTCCTTATTCGATAGAGCATCAACTATATTGAAGTCATGAATGAGGGTGTGGATGTGGGTTGGAGTATGGATCTTACCATCACTCACATTGACACCCAAACCCAAACTCTTTTTCAGCAAAGCGTTGAAAAAATATTTTTGGTGCTTTTTACTAATTCTGAATCTTTTGTTACTTCAATAAAATTTTGTTTCGTTTAGAGTTAAGTCTGTTCGCATGGATGTGGGTGTTCTTCTCTCGCCTTATACCCACATCCCACACCCACTGGCGCATACACCCCACCCACATCGCACACCAACATCCAGATTCCATATAAACCCAATAGATCGCTCGAAATTTATGTTCATAACCTTGTGGAAAACGAAAAGACAGTATTATAATAAAAAAGTTTGAGTAGCAAATTGTTTCTCATGCAGAAGAAACTAGCTCAATAAGTCATAAAATCTGGCTTTCTTCAGATCCCGATCTAATATCTATCAAATGAAAGACCATGGGACCTTGAAAAAACATAAATAAGTAGAATCAATTTGATAATTGATAGTACAAGTACTATGTTATATAAACAATTGTTAAAATTAGTTACCAAGGAATTCATTTGAGGCTGGTGTGTGGATCCGTAAGAGGACTAGATCCACAACCACATTCATCCGCGATTTAAGGACACCGAATTGTCAGAGAATCATTGTACACAATCTTTTCTCTACAATGAGGATATGTCGATTCGTTTAAAAATTTATTTACGTCATGCCCTTCCAAAATAATATACACTTGTGCAAAGTCAATTATTTGAAATTTTATTTTTACAAGCATAGGTCTGCTACTAACTCATCTCATAGCTTCATTTTCACTCAAATATTCTGTCTTACTATCAGTCTGTTCTCTTCTTCCTTGTGCTTTTGATTAAACGAATATCTGTTCTACTTTTCAATTGTGATAGCCTCATATTAGCTGACAGGATTAATCGTATCTGATTCTTACTCATATCACTCTTTTGCTTTGTTCTGTAAATGCGTACGTTTTGATAATTCATCGATAGTACCTTTTTACCTCTCTTTTCTGCTGTCCTATTCAGTGACGCATATTCTGTACAAAATCACGTTCGACTTAGAATGAAAAAAGCGTTTTTTATATAAACAAGGATTCTTTTGATAGGTGTCAATTTATAAATTGTGGTTGTGGGATGTGGGGTGTTTGAGTCCTCTTGATCACATGTACATCCATCCACACCCATACAGAGATGTTTCTGAGTGTGATGCTATCGCATCGAAAACTGCATGGGGTGCAGGTATGAATGTTAGGCTAGAGCCCTTTTAGTCGAAAATCTTTGGATCACGGCGCAATTTATCAAAGATCTTTCAAACCCTAGCCCAATCGGGACGCGTTTCATTAACTTTTTTTCAGACCCAAACCCAATCCACATTCATAATATCCTCAATAAAATGTTTTCATCCTTTTTGATAGTCGCCCTAAAGATATGAGATACTTTTTCGATTATTTGAATTCAGTAACTAGCACACGTTACACATTTCTCAAGACATATTGCCGGCGTTCGTATAAGAATGTAGATATTATTGGCTGTTACTTTTAGTGTAGCAGCTGTCGGGTCACACCCGAACCCAAACCCATGAAATAGAAAACCTTTTGACCGAGATTCACTCTGGTCTGGGTGATCTTGCTTGTAAACGGTAATTGAAAATTAATATTTACATCTTCAATTTATAAAAATGTCATGAAAAAACGAAAAATACATTCATTGTCGAATAGCGAAAATCGCAGAAGATAGAAGTTTCCAAAATAAGGAAAATTTATTGAGAATTATGGGAAATTTTTAAAACAACTACCACTTACTCTCGTGTAAGGCTTCATGCTCAATTCAAAGAGTTTACAAAACATTCTTATTTGTGCTCATAGTTAATGTTTCCTGTTCTCGAATAGATTGTTAGTCGCCATGACTGAATGGCTACTTTGTTCGATACGTATTCACAAGATACGATGTGCAAAGCTCAGTACTATGAGCAATGGAATAACTCTGGGTAAGTCACTAACAGCTATTTGTCTCAGATCACCCGTCCGATAGTATACTGACTACATTGTGACTAGTATGTGGTTAAGTAGTGTAGTATGGGTAGCGCAATACATCTGCGTTAAGCTAGTCTTCTCTCCAGAGCTACAACTGATCATAGTTGTAGGGAAGATATCGGACTATTGAATCTGCCGCTAGACAGCGCCTCACACTGCACAGTAACGGCAAGACAGGATTATTCTTCTTTCCTTCTTTGAATATATTATTAGTTATTTTTTGAACCTCTCTAAGTTACTTCTCCATAATGCCAAGGGAAAATTTTTAACAATTTTATTTTTCAGCATTACGACGATTTCTGTACTGCAACTAATTGTCGTAGACACTACAGAAGCTCATATCATCTCGGCAACTCAAATGTGTATATAATAATTCAACTTCGAATTTTTGTTCATTGATGATATTAATAATAATCGAATATTTTGTAATATTTAAGTAAAATTCTTCTTCGTTCATAAGCAGGTGAAAGTTTTTTTCTTTTGGTTTTGTAACACACACACAGTTATAAATAAATGACATTCTTTCGAAAGAGCAAAAAAAAAAATCACACACGCACACAAACATATATATGTATATACATAAAATTGCTCTTAAATCTTTTTTTTTTTCTTAGCAATTAAAAATGATAATAACTCTAACCTAATAGACACATAATGACAAATGAGCGAGAAAAAAAATAGGTATGAAATTTTTCATTTCATGCAAAGCGAAAAGAAACAAAGTAAGCGAATATTGCACACAAAGAAAAAAAACAGATGACAATAATACTGATGAGATTCTATTTTTTTTTAAATGTTTATTTAAGAATCTAGAAGACAGGATTTGATTTTTTCTGTCCATGTTTGAGCATCTTGAGGTGTTGCAGCTATAAAATTATAAATACGACGATTTGTATGTAACTAAATAAACAAACAAAAGAAAATTTTAAATAAAACTATTTTTTCTTTTCTTCTTTACTTCAAAAGCAGCTCGACTATCAAATCGTCTTAATGCATTTGGAAATGGACCAGTATAAGGAAGAATTTCTACAGCATCAGCCAAAAGAATAACACCTTTTGCTGTTTGATCATCACTACTATCATAATATCGAAGCTAGAAAAAAACAAAAACGAATAAATAATTATCAAAAAATAGAATAAAAATGATTACCTCATGTCGTACAGAATCAAGTACAAACCATCGTTCTTTCCATTGTTTTAATAAATGACCTCGTTTTCTTAAATAACCTTCATGTGTTCGATGTTGTGGACCTGAATTATTAGCAGTTACACTTGATGATGAAAATGGATGTGATAATCCATGATGATCATAAACACCTAAAATATTACAGAATTTATCACAATTAAAATCTCAATAAGATTTCTATAAAGAAGATTGTTATATCTACAGATAGAATTAAATTTTATTTCTTATCTGATTGTAATAGCCATAAGAAAAACAACTGAATCGATAGCAAAATATGTACCAAAAAAAAATCACAAATCAAGATTTGAAAGAAATTGATATTTGTTCTTTGAATACACAATGTTACATGTTAAGTGTCAGATCTACTTAAGTTGCAATTTCAGAAGTTCATAAACGATGAAAAGATGTTTTTTGCTAACATCAGATAGACCTAATCATGAACATTAACTTCGTTTCTCATGAAATATTTTTCAATGTAAGAAGACAGAAAAAAATATCTGATTTTTGCTCTAACTTAAAAATCGATAAAAAGTATACTGGTTGAATTTGATAGAAGTCTAATATTTCAATTGTAAAGATAGATTTAATTTTGATATTTTTTTGATCGATAAAAAAAGACTTAAATCAATTGAAATCTATCTTTAAAGCTGAAAAATCGAATTTCAATCAAAGTTAATTAGTTCCGTTTTATTTAATTTTTACTATAGTATTTATTCGTTTTGATGATATTCTTCATTCAAACACAAGACTAAACCGACTATCGATTGCATTAGGTGACATGAATATTACTATAGTGAAACAGTATTAACTGTGTAACTAAAACCAGTAACTGATCTGACTCTTTGAAATCGATTCTTGGGTATTTATTTCACTCCTGAAAGCTTTTTGTTAATAAAGGATTGTTATTTTTTTCAAGCATTAAAATAATCCGATCTTATTCAACTCGTAATCATTATGATGATTATAGAGTTCCAGCGTGTAGATAAACCTTTCGGTAATATAAATATATTTTTAATAGGGCAGTTCTGAACTGGATCGGGCAGATTTCACCAATCCTTTGATTGATTCGGACTGAAAGTTTCTTGTTGTGTGTTTCATTTAAAGAAAATTATTTGCATTCAAAAAAAAGAACCTGCTAATGTTTGCACCAGAATCAAAGAGGGATGAGCGTAAGCTTACAAAATTATTTTAAAACCCATCATGTTCACAAAACATTCAAAGAAAAAATGCATGAAAATGGTGTTCTACAGACATAGAGACTTCAGATTTATAGTTCAACATACAATTCAGATGTTTATTCTCTCATATCTTAATATTATGCAAATAGAATGACGTGTCTATTCGGTTAAATTATATAGAAATCTTTTAATTTTTATCAAAATTTCTTCGAAATGAAACATCACCGTTTTCATGCATATTTTGTGAAGTTGATGCCTTCTAAAATAATTGTCTTATATACTACCAAATAATAAGACGTCCGGCGTGCTCCTATCTGAATTTCTAACTATTGCCGTTGTCGAGTTATTAAAAGTGCAGACATTAGTAAAATCATCGAAATTTCACTAAAAGAGTGATTATTTTTTCTTTATCTTAATATTCAATTCAGTTAAATTATTTATGGCTATTAGAATCTAAGAACACAAAATGTATTAAGTTAGTAACAGTACATATATGTATATTCTAGACGAGCAAAGAAAGTGTAGTAAAATTTTACCCGCTTTCTCCAATAAAACATCAGTAATATCTGGAAATGATGCATGTTATTATAATTAGAGGCAAAAAAAAAACAAAAAAAAAACAATTGATAAGATTTTCAAATTTACCTGTAACACTGCCTGTTTCAAACCGAGTTGAATTAACAACAATTTGAGAATCTGCTGATCCACTAACACCAATTCGTCGACATGGTTTACATGATGCTATTGGTCGACATTTTTCATGACAAACATTTGAACAATCACGACATTGAAGTGCTCGTATTCCTTCTATTCACAGAAATTTATTTATTTTATTTTGAATACAAAAATAAAATGATTACGAACCATTTGGTGATTTTTTAGAATCAATTAATTCATCACAAGCATCACAAATTTGTGGTGTTGTAAATTGTTTGAATTCATATGCATGAGAACCATATATTGATGATGTACGTGATGATGAAATTGATGATGATAATGATCGTTGAGGTTGAAGATAATTTTGATGAGAATTCATTCGTTTATGTGCTTCATCTTGCATTGATAGACGCTATAAAATTAATTTTTTAACAGACATTAACGATATATTCTATTAGAATTTTCAAACATCTATATGTGTTAGTGAAATATGGTAAGATTATAGAGACTACACTACTATAAATGAATTACATTAATAAAAGAAGAAATATTCCTATTAGACTCTAACAAACATGAAGTCTACTAGAACATTCAGTAGTAGACAAAACTATTCATCACGGTCGCTGTGAGTGCTGGTAATCTGAAAATTGTAAGGTATTGGCATTGTGACGCTTTTATTGCTTAATTACAAAGAAGAGGGAATGTCCCCAAGTGTAACATCGCTTTTAAGCTGTGACTATGTCCAATCAATAAAGCTTAATTAGTAGGTAAATTCTTTGGAGGGGTTCATGCTGCAAAATCTTAGCTACAACGACTTAGCAGTACAAACCAATCCAGAGTATTTACCTACTCACTAAACCCAATCGATTGAACATAATCACAGTTTAAAAGCGGTATGACTTTGAAAGGATTGATGAACTTCAACGAAATTAGCATATCCATAGTTATGAGACTGACAACAAAAAATGAACGCCGTCCATTATAACACAGTTTGCCATTAGCTAGTAATGGCGTTACAATGTCAATGACTGACATTCTTGGTGAAGTACGTGTACATGAACAACGACCGAGATCGGCTTTTGTCCACTGCTGTATATATGTAAAATTTATTGTATTAAGTTTTTCCGTAGTATGTAGTACGTGTTAACTAGACTAAAAAAAAAGAACTACTAGCCGATTCTTACTGTTAGTTTTATTTCATTTTTTATTTTGATATAGAAATCTGGAAGCTGGAGGTATAAAAAAAAAAAACATTTATAAAATCGAAAAAAAACGTAATATTTTCATTTTATTTAAGTATGTTTTTCTATATATATGTTAAGAAAAAACTGATTTTAAAATATACTGTTTGTTTTTGAAAACTATCTAAACTCAAAAAGAAAAAAAAAAAATACAAATTTTTATATTCATCTCGAAAAAAATTCCTAAATTCCAAATCTTAAACTAAATCAATTTTATATTTTCATATACCTGTACTTTTTCTCGTTCAGGCTTTTCAATTTTATCCCAATAAACTTTCCATGATTCAGTATTTGTATATTGCAATGTATTAGACATTTCCTAGAGAAAAGAAAAAGGATATATATCTTGATACTTAGTCATTGAAAAAAATAAATAAAGAATTTTTCTTACAGAAACAATATCATTAAAAAAATCTGGTAAACAAATACTAATATCATCATAAACAGCTGATATACATTTCGTACGTTGTTTTAATTCAGCATCATTTAAATGTTCATCATGTTCAGCTAGAGCTATATCAAGATCATATGGACAACCTGTTTCTAATGTTTCACTTAAATAAAAATCCCATATATCAAGTGAATACATTTTATATGATGGACGAAGAACACAACAATCATTTGATGGTGAATAAAGAAAATTATAAAATCTTGCTGATTCTCGATTAACTTTTGTTATATAATCCCAAATATTTATTGTATTACAACGATATAAACCTTATAAAAGAAAATTAAAGAAGTGTCTTTTTTTTTGTGTGTATAAATTAATAAATGAAATAAATTTACCAGTCGTATCATCAGTTAATGAATCACGTGTTGTATCAACATACCAATTACGATCTTTTTTACGTTCACAATCACAATCAAGCATAAAATTTTTAAAACGATTTGATAAATGATGATAAGCAAGAAAACGAAGATAATATTGATTAAATTCAAATTCACTTGGATATTGATTCCAAATCTTGAAAAAAAAAAAAAAATTTCTTTTATTAACAATTACATGTTAAAAACTTACTTGATGAACAAGATCAAGAAATTGAAGAAAAACTGGTGCAAAACCAGTTTTATTTGCTGCTGTTTGATTTGATCGATGTGAAAAACGATGTCCAAATGCAAACCATTCACGTTCAATTAATGTTTGAAAACCTTCAAATGTTCGATAATATGAATCAAGTAATAATTCACTTATTGAAACAAGTTGTGCAGCTGTATCCCAACCATCTTCAACACAAATCATTACTGATGATGCATGATCTTCAATAAATTGAACAATATATACACAAACCATTAAAATTTTTTGTAACTAAATTAAAAACAAACAAAAAAATGTTTTTTTTTTTTTTTTTTTTTCAAGGCTAAAAATTTTTATTTTACTTGATAAAGCCATCGTGATTCTTCAATAAGTTTATAAAATGACATTGAATTAGGTAATATAACTGATATATCATTTCCATTACTATGTGCATGACTATTCGAAATTTGTGCTGACATACTTGGAACACAAGCACGTGTCATTTTTTTAAAACTTGCTTTTATTTGACTAACATCATGAAATTCAAGTGGAAGAAAACAATAATTTTGAAATTGTTCAAGACGACCAGTCTAAAATGCATTTATTTAGAATAATATTTATCGAATAATAAAGAATTTCATAAGCAGAGATCCCTAGCAATGTGATAAATACGCACATACACACACAGAGAAGAAACCCAGTTTGAAGCTAATAATCTTTCAAATGTAAAAGAAGTCTATTCTATTCAAACGAGCGCAAAATAGTAATAAAAATCATAGAATAGAATTGTTTATCGCTTTTTATTGTAACTTCTTTGATGAATATAATTTTGTTTGTTTTATATGCTTTCTATTAACGAACAAATGGTTTATTTTGTGAGCTGAAAAGGATGTACAGATGAATATGAATAAGAGACAACGGTTCAGAAACTAGTGAATAGGATATCGAAATTGTTTCTGTTATGAAATTATACAGAATTGGAAATAAAATTATGTAAATTTTTATTCAAATGATAGAAATATGAGCAAACTTTGAACTGATAAATGCGACATTTCGCAAAGCTGAACCATTATCAGTTGAAATTATGCACGAGACTCTCAAGCTGAGAGATGAGTTTGATACCTATTATGGAAAGACTTATAAGACGAATTACCTATTTCATAAAAATGAAAAATCCTTATTTGGTATTTGAACTTCTTAGAAAACAAAAGCGGAAACTAAAAATTAGCTCTGCAGTTTTTCTATTCTATCGTATATGATTTTCTCTTGATAACAAACATAAAAGAAAGTACAGAATATGTTCGTTTTCAATTCATATCGAGGCTATCATGACTAAGTGTACGGTAGGCTTAGATTAATTGATGCAAATATGCTTTTCATTTTCAACTTAGTTTTTCATTCGGCAGATATCTTCGGTAATGTTATCTACAAATTTTTAAAAGAAACTAATCGAAATAATAGATTAAAATAATCTCAAAAGGATTCAGATTCATAGATCTACTCGACAGAGTTACGACAGGTTTTACAATCTAAATTTCTTAAGGCAATTCTCCCATCTATCCGACATAGTTTCAAGTTTTGTTTTTTTCTACAATTATTAATTTGTTCTTTATTCAATAGATTTTAAACTTACGCGATGTTGAGCACGATCACCAATAATATAAAGTGGTGAACGTTTATGAACTTGTAAAATCGATTCATTAAAATCAATATCAAAATTTGTTGATCCACTACCGCCACCACCACCACCACCACCTCCACTTGTTGCTATTGATGATGGTGTTGGTGAATTCATTGATGTATAACTTGCTGTTTCACTTCTTGGTAATGTATCAGCAGTTGAATGAATATTAATACTAGCTAAAATTCAAAAAACAAAAGTAAATTTTAGTATGATTTTAAATAATATGATAGACAAAAAGAATGTCATTCAAAAGCAATAAGCTGATGTATTATAAAGTATAGGATATAAACAAAAAAAAAAAGAAGCTGGTGCAAATAGGTATAAAAATGAACAAACTTAGACGATAGTCATCGTTTGTTTTTTTTTACCGAAAGCCAATCGCATATTATCCGTTAATGTTGCACTACTCGAACTTTTGAAAAGAGCAGATATACGATTTTTATTTATTAATCGACTATTTGTTATATTTTCATTTTGATTTTTTATCATTTTCTCTAGAGATGAAAATGTTTTTTTTTTTTTATTATATATTACATACGAATATATTAATCATTATAGATAATAATATATTTAAAAAAAAAAAAAAAAACCTAATTTTTCAAACTCACTTGTTCGTGGACGATCATATAAAACACGTGTTGGTAGAAGATTTTGTAAACGATTTGTTGCTGAATGATGTGTAGTTTTTCGAACAGATAATGGTGTTATATCAGTTGATTCAGGTTCATCACCATCACCAAGATCAGATGAAAATGGCATTTTTGTTGGTGTTAATTTAACAATAGCATCAAAATAACGTTCTTGTTCTATACTTGCATTTGTATCACTTGATGAACCTAAATAAATTGAAAAAACTTCTTTGTTTTTTTTTTGTTTTCAAAATTTAATGCATACTTGAATTTGTCTGTGGACCTTTAACAAGTAGATTAATAAAGCCTTTATTACAAAATGCTGAACCACGTAATAAAAGAGATTTTGTACGTGGATTACGCCAAACAATAACAGGAACACTGAATAAAGAAAATAAAAACAAAATTTATATATGAATATTAAAGAAGAATAAATATTTGGTTAAAATTTACCGTTGAAGTTTATGACATCGTGCAACTTTTTTTAAACTTTCATCAAGAATATCTTTAGGTAATACAAGTACCAATGGATAGCTAGAAAGATAAATGTATATTTCGAATTTCAAATAGAGAATAACAAAGCAGAATATTGATTAATCTCGAGTTATAATTTCCATATTTCTTCTTGGGTTTTTTTTATTTGTGGATAATTAAAATTTTTAATTTATCAATGGGATAGATTCCTTGTATAAACGTGAAATTTTCTATTTGCATTGTTTTAAAGAAAATCAATTACTTTTTCTCAAAGAGAAACTAAATTAAGTCATTTTTTGAAGAGTAATATTCAAAAAAAAAAATGTTATCATAGGAATTTTTTAATGACATGTTAATTAAAATAAAATTCTAAATAATAATAGAAAAAAAAAAAAGAGTGAATCGAATAAGAATTCGAACCTTAAATGTATGAATTGAGAAGTTATCGTTCTAATCATTGAACTATTCGGTATTATTAATTAGTTATAACAATTTTACAACGATGACTATTGATATAAATCAATCCTACTATGTTTAGAATGTATTCGTTGGAAAAAGAATCAATCCTTAAAAGGATAAATTCGTGTTAGGAAGTTACATACAACGAAATATGTATCTCGAATAGATCCACAGACAAGAAAATGATTCTTTAAGGAATTATTTGATGTTAAGCAGGTTATATGAAAACCGTTATGATAAAGTAACCGTATAAGAATCAACCTACTGAAAAAAAAAAAACCATCCCGGAACTTTAAAAAGATCCAATCAGTAGCTCCTTGTATAATCGCGCAAACGTTCTTAGAATAGTTCATTCCTATTTCAATTTATTCATGTCACACAATCATTCATACAAATATTTTGAAATAATTAATAATTTTTCTTCAATATAAAATAACGAACTATTAATATTTATTTTAAATTTACCTTCTACAGAAACTAAAATTTCGATTTATATGTGAAATACGAAAAGAATCATCACTAGTAACCATTAATGTATTAGCTGTTGATGTTGTATTCATTCCTATTCCCATTGTTGTATTTATTCCATTATTATTATTTATATTAGTTGAATTAATTAATTGTTGTCCATTACTATTTAAATTATTTTCATTTATATTTGATGATACAGTTAATGATATAGTTGATGTAAGTGATGTAACTGTTGTTGTACGTATTGTTGAACGTGATGATGGAAATGTTGTTACAATAAGACCTTGTCGAACAAAATCTTTATATACAAAACTATCTGTAAAACGTTCAAGACTTTTTGTTTCATTTGATATTGTTGCATAATTATTTGATTCATCAATTGTATCTAAAGAAGAAAAAATAAAATGAATAGATGAAAATAAAATACATAAATAATCTTTTTTTACTTGATGATCTATCTTCATCTTCATCATCACTATTATTTCCACTTATTCCTTCATCACATTCATGTATTGTTGATGGTGTTGTTATTGTTGAAATTCCAGTTAATGAACGTTCATTATTATGTGAAGATATAGATTTTGGTGAACGTGTATTTGTTAATGTTAAACTACGTCGAACTGGTTCAGGTGTACGAATTAAAATATTTTGCTGATGTCTCATTGAACCATTTAAAGTTTTTAAACCACCTGTACTACCTGTTCCATTAGATTTTAATGATACATTTTGATGTGTTGTTAAATCTTTTGGTGGTATAAGTCCTTTTTTACGTAAGACATTTCGAGCATAACGACCATATTTTCTAAAGAGAAAAATTTATCAATTTAAAAAAAGACATTTAGTATAATTCATGTAGGATTAAAATGTAAAACATAATATAGCTGCTGTTAATAATCAGAGGAAGATTCTTTTTTGTAAGGAGTATGAATTTTTACCCGTAAACTTTAACACATTTCTTTAAGGCTGTTTTTTTTTTAGAAAAAAGATAAAAGATTTACTTGAGTGTTCCATCTTTTTGTTTGCTTATAACAGGATTATAATCACTATAAATTGAAAAACAAAATGTTTGAAAAACAGATTCAGGATAACGTTTTTCAACGAGTTTTGTACGAAATTTTTCGATATCATCAACAAGAACTTCATCATCAAAAAAGACTTTAATTAACTAAAAACAAAAAAAAAAAAACATTTTTTTTTGTTTTATAAAAAAAAAAAAAAGAAATTATTAATAAAACGAACTTGAAATGTTGCTGATCGTAATTGAATACCATTATGAAGACATATATTTGAATTATCAACACGAAATTGACCAGAAAGTTTCTTTTCACGAATTAATGATGAAATTGGAAATGAACGTACAACGACATAGTCATTTGCAACTAGAGAAAAAAGAAAAAAAAAAAAATTTTGAAACATTTTACGAGCAATAAAAAAAAAACACTGCAGTCTCACATGCTCTATTTCCAATAAACAAAACTAAATATATAGAATAAGAGCCATAAAAAAATTTTGAATTACCTAATGAACTACTTTTGAGCCCTATTTGTTGAATATTTTCCGAAAACGTCATAATCTAAGCCTGAAAATTCCGATCAAATCTCTCTGTTACATTATTAAAGTATTTTATGCGATTTGAATTAACCAGGGCTATTATAATTAAGGTAATTAGCACTGGACATCAATCATAAAATACATTCACCAGATATTGCATAATTGATTTAATACTCTGTCGAAGGAAATTGTCCAGCTGTTCAATCATTTTGTGTCAAGACTATCTGCATTATGTAGATGCTAATGAGCTATGAATACCTTGAAAAGAGTTCGAGCACTTAGCTTATTGCTGCTGAGATCTTCCTCAGGAACATTAGAAAAACTGATATAAAATAGTAGATTTCATGTCCATATTTCAGAGCAGAAGCAAATCAAAATATCTGATATTTTGACAATAAACTACTCATGTTACGGTCTGCCTCTATACAAAGTTTTCAAGTCGAAATTCGAAAATCAGTTTTTCAGTTGCCACTGGGAGGAGATCAGTTCGATTCTTTGGAAACAATACTCCTTCTACGTTCGATACAACACTACTTATTTCTGGTAATAATTGCATAGTCATTTGACTTAAACAAAGATGATTATAAACTTTGGACCCACAAACGGAATATATCTAGATTAGTACAGAAAAACTTCGTTTATCTAACAACGTATGTATTGTCCAGTTTTATTGTGTACCGTTGAAACATCAACTGAGGGCTCTATCTTCGCCATGAATACAATAGAATTTCACAATACATACATCATTCGATCGAGGAAATTTTATTCTGAAGTTAAAAATCACCGAGACATTTATATTTGTCTTTTTTAAATTGTTTCAAAAGAAAAAAAAAAGAACTTACTTGCTGGATTAATAGGACGACCTTTAAAAATCAATCTATAATTTGTCATAATTAAAGCACCTTCAGCTGGTAATAAAGAATTTTGTCCAATAAAAAATTCATCTCTTCCATCATGTAATAAATATGAACGAAGTGCAATTGATTCTTCATGTTCAAATAATTCTGGTATAGTAACAAAACGTGGTAATAATGGTTTAGGCATAGGTGCAACTCGTCGTGTTTCACGATAAACTTTTTCAAGAACTTCAATTTGAACTTGAACAGTTTCTATAAAGCAAAAAAAAAGGATATTCATTATTCTGTATCAAATTAAAAAAAAAAACATACGATAAAGTTTTGTATGAAGACTATTTTTATGTGTTGTATTAACTCCACTTTCATCACAAATTTTATCAACAAATTTTCTAACAAAACTAAGTACAAGATCAGTTACTTGATCATCATTATTTAAATCAAATCCATTTCCACTATCATGTGAACCAACAGTTGATGTTTCATCAGCATCTCTTACACT